TTTTTTTTTTTTTTTTTTTTTTTTTTTTTTTGGCTATACTGGGTTTTTTGCTTTTCCATATGAAGTTGAGTACTGTTCTTTTGAGGTCTTTGAAGAATTTTGCTGGGATTTTGATGGGCTGATTCACCATTATTTGCGAGAAAATTTTCTTTGTTTTGCATGGGGTGACAGCTTGTCTCTTTCATTTTATGGGTCTCCAAATGTAACTATATCTGAAGAATTTCCTATTTAGATGACAAGACTCCTGGGTTCTAAACTGATCTGGTAATCAGAAGATTCTGAGGGGCATGAGGATTGGGAAAATATTTGCATCAGATGGTGATTATTGGAGGAGCTGAAGGTATACTGTTCATCTGTGGCTCCCAGTGATCTTAACCTCTGTTATTAATGTCCTCACTCTGGGTAGGTGTTGAAATTAGTGACTTTCCCATAGCAAGAAGAATTTAGAAAAAGTAAAGTCAGGCATAGTGCACATGCCTTTGGTTCCAGCACTCAGAAGGCAGAGTCTGACGTTAGCCTGCTCTATAGAGCAATTTCTAGGCCAGTCAGAGCCCCAGTCTTGAAAGAAAAAAGGAAATGGAAAAAAGCATGAAAGGAGTTGCCCTTTGAGGATGAGTTCTCTCTCTCTCTCTCTCTCTCTCTCTCTCTCTCTCTCTCTCATTTACTTTCTCTGCTGAATCCAGCTGATACAGTATGAATTTTCAAATGGAGAAACTTATGTGGCAAGAAACTGAAGGGTGGCATATGGCCAATAGCCAACAAGTAACTGAGGCCTTCTGTCCAACAGCCTCTGAGAAACCGAATGCTACCAAGAATGTGAACTTGGACATAGATTCTGCTCCTTTTAAACCTTCACAGGATAAAGTCCCCAGCCAATATTTTGTTTGTAGCTCTGTAAGAAACTCCAATGGGATGATTTAGACTAATTATACTCATATTTCTGACTGCCAGTACCTGGATCTTTAAAAAAAATTGTGTGTGTGTGTGTGTGTGTGTGTGTGTGTGTGTGTGTGTGTGTTGATGCCCAGCATACAATTAACTCAGTTAACTCTACAAAGACTGAGACAGGAAGGTTGCAAGTTCAAACCCTGGATTTCATAGAGAGTATGAGATCAGACTGAGCTATGAAAGTGGGGATAAAAGAGATAATAGCGTGTGCTATTTATAAGGCTAAGTTTTGGGGTCATTTGTTAAACCATAATAGATAACTAATACAGTTGCTGCATTTAGTTAATAGATATACAATTGCTGATTTTGCACCTATTATTTTTCATAGGCTATCATTTTCTTCTGTCTTGATCAAATTTTGTTATGAGTGGAATACTAGCTCTATAGAAAGGCTTTGGAAGCTTGTTTTGTCCTTTCTCAGCTGTGAAATAGTTTGAGGAGTGTTGATACTAGGTTTTTTTTCCTGTGCATCCATCTGGTACTGGACTTTCCTTTGTAGGTAGATTTTTTTCCTTTTTATGATAGCTGCAATTTCATTGTTCATTATTGTCATTGAATTTGTAATGTATCCAATCCATTCAGTTCAATTTTGGAAGGTCATACTTACCTAAAAATTTGTCCATTTCTCTTAGATGTTCCAATTTGTGGCATACAATTTTTCAAATAGCCTGTAATGATCCTCTAGATTTCAATGATATCTTTGCCTCTAATTTTATTTACTTGGACTGTAATTTAGTTTTGTGGCTAGGGTGTGGCAAGAAACAGCTACTAGGCAGAATCTTCTGTAGATGCCTATTAAGTCAATATGACCTATAGTATTTATTTTTATGGGTTTGAGCTCTTGAGTACAGTGTGGGAAGATGGCATTAGAATCCCTGGAGCTGGAGTTACAAGCAGTTTTGAACAGGCTGACATGGTGTTAGGAACATGTTGACCAAGATTTTCTGTCCTGCCTGGTTCCTGCAGTCATTAAGTCCCAAAGAAATCACACAATGGGCTACATTAGTTATTAACTGATGGCCTGGTATCTCAGACTTCTTATTAACTCTTAAATCTTATTTTAGCTCATTATTCTTTTCTATGTTAGCCACGTGGCTCGGTGCTTTATTCGGCGAGGCTGTCACATCTTGCTTCTTCTGCATCTGGGTCAGGACTGCAACTGCACTTCCCTCTTCCCAGCATTCTCATTGCCTCACCTTTACTTCCTCCCTGGTCACTCTGCCTATACTCCTGCCTAGCTACTGCCCAATCAGCATTTTATTAAAATATGATTGACAGGGTACAAATCATTTTCCCACAGCACTCCCCCCCTTTTTAAATAAGAACTCTGAATCTAATATACTTTGCTTAGCTCTTTTCCTGACCATTATCAATAACAACTTATAACAAATATTCTAAACAAAGGAAAATATACATAGTCAATTTTTTGAGAATGAGGGTGTAGTTTTCCAGGCAACTTCCTGCTGATTGGGAGCACTGATAATCTTATGGGGACCTACAGAAAATTTAGAATTATAATCAAGTCATGACTGGAGTATCCTGTGAGGCTTGATCATCTCACATATCAGTCTTGAATCTGTTCTGGATGTAGAACTCAGACATCTGGGCCATCTGCTCCTATCAGAGATTTCTCAGGGTGTCTTCTTGATCAAACTTGATTTTTCTTAACCCCGAATAAATCCATAGCCTCTCATTTCCTGTGGAAACAAAAACAAAGGCTCTTCTCCAAAGTAACATACCTTTTGACTTCAATTTTGAAGTCAAGGTATTTTCAAAATATTTATGTTTTATTAATCCAGCAGCATTTATGTTCAAATGTCTTTTAGCAGCTGTTACTCCTTCCTCAGCTGTCAAGCAATTCAAAGACAACATAATAACATACAGTATCCAGACTCTGTGTATTTACCATCTTTATGTGGCTTTACTTTAAATTGTATTTCTTTTATTTTTACTTTTAATTTTTGGCTTTTTTTTTTTTTTGATTTTTCGAGACAGGGTTTCTCTGTGGCTTTGGAGCCTGTCCTGGTGAGACAGGGTTTCTCTATGTATCTTTGGCTGTCCTGGAACTCACTCTGTAAACCAGGCTGTCCTTGAACTCACAGAGATCTGCCTGCCTCTGCCTCCCAAAGGATATTAGATTCAGAGTTCTTGTGTTTTTTTTTTTTTTAAAAATGGGGGGAGTGCTGAGCTCAATTCTAGCCACATTGTCTTCTCCGCAGCCTGCGCTCACTGCCAAGGAGACGATGGCTTCCTGTGTCCTCCTGCACACTGGACAGAAGATGCCTCTGATTGGGCTGGGGACATGGAAGAGTGAGCCTGGCCAGGTGAAAGCAGCCACCAAGCACGCCCTTAGTGTAGGCTACCGTCATATTGATTGTGCTGCTGTCTATGGCAACGAGACCGAGATTGGGGAGGCCCTGAAGGAGAATGTGGGACCAGGCAAGGCAGTGCCTCGAGAGGAGCTGTTTGTGACATCCAAGCTGTGGAACACTAAGCACCACCCTGAGGATGTAGAAGGTGCCCTTCGGAAGACACTGGCTGACCTCCAGTTGGAGTATCTGGACCTCTATTTGATACATTGGCCTCATGCCTTCGAGCGGGGAGACAATCCCTTTCCCAAGAATGCCGATGGGACCATGCGATATGACTCCATCCACTATAAGGACACCTGGAAGGCTCTGGAGGCACTGGTGGCAAAGGGGCTGGTGAAAGCACTGGGCTTGTCCAACTTCAACAGTCGGCAGATTGATGATATCCTCAGTGTGGCCTCTGTGTGCCCAGCTGTCTTGCAGGTGGAATGCCATCCATACCTGGCCCAGAATGAGCTCATTGCCCACTGTCAAGCACGAGGCTTGGAGGTGACTGCGTATAGCCCTTTGGGATCCTCTGATCGTGCTTGGCGCCATCCCAGCGAGCCAGTCCTGCTTGAGGATCCAGTGGTCTTGGCACTTGCTGAAAAACATGGCCGGTCTCCAGCCCAGATCTTGCTCAGATGGCAGGTTCAGTGGAAAGTAATCTGTGTCCTCAAAAGCGTCACTCCTTCGCATATCCTTCAGAACATTCAGATGGATGGGAAGATGGTCCCCAGAGATGCTGGACACCCTCTGTATCCCTTTAATGACCCATACTGAGGCCATCGTTTCCCAGCTTCCCTTTCAGCTCCCCTGCTAAGTGTTGCTTGCTACGCCTGAGAAAATAAAGCCCTTGGAGCATAAAAAATGGGGGAAATGCTGTGGGACAATGGTTTGTACCCTGCCAATCATATTTTAATAAAATACTGATTGGCCAGTAGCCAAGCAAGAAGTATAGGCAGGACAATCAGGCAGGAAGTAGAGGTGGGGCAACAAGAACAGGAGAATTCTGGAAATAGGAAAGCTCAGTCTGCAGTTGCGACCCAGCTACAGAGGAAGCAAGATGTGACTGCCTTGCTGAAAAGGGTACCAAGCCATGTGGCTAACTAAGACAAGAATTATGGGCTAATGTAATTTATAAGAATTAGTTAATAAGAAGCCTGAGCTAATGGGCCAATCAGTTTTTAACTAATGTAGACCTCTGTGCGACTCTTTGAAACTTAATGGCTGCAGGACTGGGTGGGACAGAAACCTCAGTCAACAGGAACAGAACTCTGGTCCTCTGGAAGAGGGATATGCTACATAGCTTTATGTCAACTTGACATAAGTAAAAGTCATCTGAGATGCAGGAACCTTAATTAAGAAAATATCTCCATAAGGTTGGGTTACAGATAAGCCTGTAGAGCATTTTCTTAAATAGTAATTGATTGGGGGAAAGCCTAGTCTGTTGCGGGTAGTGCCATCCCTGGGCTGGTGGTCCTGGGGTATATAAGAAAGCAGGCTAAGAAAGCCATGAGGACCAAGTCAGTATGCAGCACCCTCCATGGCCTCTGAATCAGCTCTTGCCTTCAGGTTCCTGTCCTGTGTGAGTTCCTGTCCTGACTTCCTTCAGTGATGAACATAGATACGAAAATGTAAGCCAAATAAACCTTTTCCTCTCCAACTTGCCTTTTGGTCATGGTGTTCCATTACTGCAATAGAAATCCTAACTAGGATAAGTAGCATGTACTCTTAACTGCTGAGATATCTCTCCAGCCACACACCTCCAGAGTTAATGAAACTCTGGTATTTCTTTGGTAATGTTTTTGGCTGACTTATTTGTTGGTGAGAGTTGGAAACCGAAGTCCTCCACCATTATTGCATCACAGACTACTTCTCCATTTATGTGCTGTAGATTTTGACTTAAAAAATTTAGTTCTGTGATGTTTAGTGCTCATGGGCATGCACAAGCACACATAACCTAATCATTGTATCTTCTTGGATTGCTCTCTTTGTTAATAGACTGTGACTCTTTTTCTCTTCTCATTTTGTCTTGAAGCCTAACTTTTTCAGATTTGAGTGCAGTTGCTTCTGTTTCCATTTGGATCCCATTTGCCTGGACTGTATTTTTTTCCACTTTCAATTTGCATGCAGATCACGATGAGATAAATTACTTCCTGCCAGCCTATTGTTGGGTCTTGATTACTAAATCAACCACCTGATCTTTTAATTGAAAATGAAGAGTATTTACATTCAGAATTACATCTAAAGGTCTCTCTTAATTTCTATCTTCTCACTCCTTTTCTTATCCTTATTTTGAAGTTTTGTTCATTTTTTTTTTCCTCTGTATTCCTCTTCCAGGCATGGTGATTTACTCAGTTAATCCTGCTTGATTCTTTCCAGTCTCTGTCTTTCTGTCTAGTTTTTTTTTTTACTTGTTACTTTGCTGTGTCTTTTTATTGTTTGCTTTTTACGTCTTTATATGAAAAATTCATTCAAGTGTCTTCTATAGTATTGGTTTAGTGGGCAAGAGTTGCTTTAGTCTTTTCTCACCTTGGAATACCTTTATTATTTATTTTATTCTGAGATATAACTTTTCTGGACAATGTTAGCAAGGTTGGCATTGATTTTCATTCAGGACCAGAAATATACCATCCCATGCCCTTCTGGCCCAAAGAATTTTTGCTGAGAAATATGGGCTTACCTGTATAGTGACTTGGTATTTTTCCTCTTCTACCTCAATACAAACATCATTCTAAAGATGCAGGAATGGACTGGAAATATGACTCAGTAGCTAAGAATGTTTGCCACACAACCATGAGGGCTCGAGTTGATATCTTCTTGCCTGTTTCTGGAGCCTCAGCATTGTGAGGGGGAGCAAGATTTTTTGCTGGGCCTTGCTGGCTACCAGCCAAGAAAAGAAATATGGTCTCCAGGTTCTGGGAGAGAACTTGTCTCAAAGGAATACAGAAAAGAGTTATAGAGGAGGACATCTGAACTCCTCTTCTAACCTCTACACATGTGTGCATATATAGAATTACACTCTAAATAAATGAACGAATAAGACATTAAAAATAGTTTGGGAAATTTTCTTGTATTTCACTTAATAGATTTGCTATGTCATTAGTCATTGGTTAAGCACTTTCAGCTATGGCAATTACCATAAATTTGGTATTTGAGGTTCCATAGATCTCTTGTATGTTGTTTATAATTTCTTATTGTTTCTTTACTTCTAAATTTGATAATTCATTAAACTGGTTTTTATTACCTGGTCTTCTCTCTTCTACTTGATCTAAGTGAGAGCTTCAACTGAATGGTTTGTTTGACTTATTTTTGCAGTTGGCATCCTGTGCATCACAGGCTAGCCTCAAATGTACCATGTAATCCAAGTTGATCTTTGACTCCTGATTCTCCCACTGCCATCTCCCAAATGCAGAGATCATAGATGTATGTCATTACACCAGGCTTTATGTGATCTAGGGGGTTGAACACAGGGCTTATACATTCTAGGTAAGCACTACTAATTGAGCTATATCTCAGCTTCTTATTCAATATTTTATTTCCCTGATTTATATTTGTTCTTTTTCAGAATCTCTTTTTTTTTATTGACTTACTTTTTCATACCTTCTAACATCTTCCTTAACTTCCAAGTGTTCATTTGTATCTTCTTTGTAATCATATGTCATTTCCAAAATATCTATTTCAATATGTGTGGTTCCTGAAGAGTTCTGAACTTCTGGAGGGGTCATGTGGCTTTGTTTATTTTCTATTTCCTATGTAATCTTTTCTAAGATTTTGATAATTTATTGTGAAAGATTTATTTTTCTATTTTAGATGAGTTTTTTTTCTCCTAAGGAGTGCTCAATCTCCAGTACTGCTCACAGAGAAGGAAACAAACCCCAGAAACAGCATAAAACAGATACATCAATATAATAAAGACCAACTAACAGGGCTTTGCAGTTAACAACACTGGCTGTTTTTCCAGAGTACTAAGATGTGATTCCCAGTACCTATGGTTCCCAACCATCTATAACTCCAGTTCTTTGCCTCTTTCAGCACCAGGCCTGCATACGGTACACAGACACACATGTGGGTAAAATACCCACCCACAGAAAACAATAATAGAAGTAAATAAAAATAAATAAAATAAGCAAAATTTTAATAGCTCTTATCACCAATAGCAGTAAAACATAAAAGGAGAAAATAACAAACTAAAAAGCCAACAGCTAACGTGGGGTTCAGGGCAGCCGGGCCACACATAATGGGGTCCAGGTCATTAACACTCACAAGAAAAATAACAATAAAATAATTTTTTGTAAAGGACAGTGTTAACATGAAAAAAAGGATGGCATGAAAAGGGAAAGAAGAGGAAGAGGAAGAGGAAGAGGAAGAAGAAGAAGAAGAAGAAGAAGAAGAAGAAGAAGAAGAAGAAGAAGAAGAAGAAGAAGAAGAAGAAGAAGAAATGATTTGAAAGTACCAGAGGAGGGGCTAAGGGTGCTGCTTAATCAGTAGAGTGTGCTTGGCCAGCATGCCCTGTGTTCCTCCCCAGCACCACACAATATGGGGCTCCTTGGCTCATACCTATAATCCCAGCAGTTAGGAGTTGGAGGCCAAAGGATCAGAATTTTTATGGTCACCCTTAGCTACATAATGAATCTGAGGCCATTCTGGACATACATAATACGTGCATACATACATGAGACAAAAGTGAAAGAGGAAAGAATAAGAGCATAAAATCCAAGCACATAATAAAACTAAATAAGAAAATAGATAAAAATTAAGAAAAGTGAGTTGGATGATTTATCCTCATTGACATACTTAGATGGGAGAAACTTACTTTCTGGTCCTCTATTGGAATCTACCAAATATGGAGGGACTCTGGGTCCTGACTGATATATATCATAATTCCTCTCTGCTTTCACCACAAAGTTTGGTCCTATACATTGGTCAAGCTTCACTTCTCATCCTTACTGGGCATGGCTTGTGAAGCTGTGCCGTCTGCCAAAGACCTGCATTTATTCTAGATGAGTTCTTTAAATGTGCACTCTGTGCCAGTACTAACTTCAACAGTGTTCCTGTCTATGGGCCAGGCACGTAGTGACTTGCTCTAGGGGTGATAAACATCCAAGCTTTCTAAGACTGTCTCTCCTGCCATCCACCCAGTAACTACAGTAGGTTGCCTCTTGGGATCCTGAATTTTTTTTTTTTTTTCATTTTCTGAGCCTAATTCAGTCCCTAAGAAGAAGGATCCTGGCAATAGCACTCTTAAGAGACAGTGAACAGGGTTTCTTCCCTGACGCTGGGCTGCCGTGCAAGAGTCACTTTCTGACCAAATCCTGCTAGTAGAGTGCAAGTTTCCAAGAACTATGTGTTTCTCCTGCAGGGAAAACTGCCAATCTTTTATTATGATTTGGCTGACTACATTCTCCAGGCTTAACTTATGCTTTCTCTGAGCTGTCTTGATGCGTTTTGGCTGTTCTATCGCCTCCCTTAATTCCCTGAGCTTCTCCTTTTTTTTACTTCCTGGTGTATATGTTCTGCTTTGTTGCTTTGACTCTTGTCGGTCCCACAATTGTGCGAAGACTGCTCGTATTCCTCCACCTTCCAATCTAAGAACGTCATTGCGGTGTGCAAATGATCTGGCATCACCACGGAAGATCTGAAACAATCACAAGTGAGAGGCAAAGGAAGGTGCCACTTGCAGAAAGAAGTGAGAATGGAAGCAGGGTTCGGAGTAAAAGACAGATGAAAAGATAACCACCCCAGGCTTGCAGGCAACCTCCAGCAACTAGAAAAGGAAAGGAAACTAATTCTCCTCTTAAGCTTCCAGGATGAACACAGCCTGTGATTTTAGATTACTTTCCTCCAGTACCATAAAGTAATATATTT